CATGACTCTCTTTTTATATTACAGTCTTTGAAATGGGGATGACCTGTTCATTTGTTTCCAAATAAAAAAAAGAGTCTGTGTTCCTAAAGTGGCTAAAAGCAGCTCTGTGCGCCGCTGCAGATCTCACTCTGTCCTGCTAACAGGAATTAAAGTTGTCTGTCAATCTGAATGACGTGAGACCAAAACACCTCACTGACTTGGTTTTCCACCAGGGTTTGGCATCCATCTTTAGCTCTAAATGATTCCTCTTCCAGCATTTCTTTAATCACCAGTTCAGTTCAACAGCTGGCAGAAATATTGTGAATCCAGCAAACATGATCTAGATCAACGCTCTTTCTTAACTTCATATATAGATCAATGTCTGCTATATCAAGATGTCATTCAATGACGCTCAAACATGTTCACACAATTCATATGGTTCACTGCATCATCTGATGCAGGAAGGTGTCCGTCTATGGAATTCCAGGTGATCAGATGAAAAGGATGCATCTATCTGTGCTGTTTTTTTAATTGATTTTCTTTATAAACATGGGCTAGATGACTGTACTCTGTTCCAATCCACTTTTTCTAGCAGTTTGAACACAACAAGCAGGGTTATTAAAGCTAACTAAAGCTAAAACCCAAAAATTTTTTACTTGAAATCTTGAAATTAAATTAACTTTAATTGAATTAAAATATTTCAAAAACCTTAAAGGGTTAGTTCACCCAAAAATGAAAATTCTGTCATTAACTACTCACCCTCATGCAGTTCCAAACCCGTAAGACCTTCGTTCATCTTCGGAACACAATTTAAGATGTTTTTGATGAAATCCAAGAGCTTTCTGACCCTGCATAGACAGTAACTCAACTGACATGTTCAAGGCCCAGAAAGATAGTAAGGACATCGATAAAATGGTCCATGTGACATCAGTGGTTCAACCGTAAATTTATGAAGCTATGAGAATACTTTTTGTACAAAGAAAACAAAAATAATGACTTTATTCAACAATTTCTTCTCTTCCATGTCAGTCTTCGATGCACGTTCACAACAGTACCACAACGTATGCGTGTGCATTACTCTGCTTGCAAACAAGGCGCAGCACATCCGGGTTCTACGTCAGAAAGCCGGATCCTGCGTCAGCCATCTGAACACGCATGCGTGGTGCTCTCGTGAACACACATCAAAGACTGACACGGAAGAGAAGAAATTGTTCAATTAAGTCATTACTTTTGTTTTCTTTGTGCACAAAAAGTATTCTCATAGCTTCATAAAAAAATTGTGGTTTAACCACTGATGTCACATGGACTATTTTAATGATGTCCTTACTACCTTTCTGGCCCATTAAACATTTCAGTTGCTTTACTGTCTATGCAGGGTCAGAAAGCTCTCATCAAATTTCATCAAAAATATCTTAATTTGTATTCTGAAGATGAATGAAGGTCTTACAGGTTTGGAACGACATAAGGGTGAGTAATTAATGAGAAATTTTTTGGGTGAACTATCCCTTTAAACATTTGATTTCAGCTAGTTCGCCAAGGCAATGCTTCTCATTTTCATTTAGTTTAAACTGATCAATTAAAATAACAAAAACTAAAATAAAAATTAAATATACATATTTTAACAAAAACAACAAAAAACTAAAATTGAAATGAAAATAAAAACTAATTCAAAATATTAATAAAAAATGAGTGACCACACACACACACATATAGTATCAGCTTATACATTTAATATGGGCTGCTTTTGGTGCTTGACACCTTTTTATTGGTCATTTTGTGTTTCAAGAATAAGGTCCAAGGTTAAGAATTATGCTATTAGTTACTTAAATATAAAATATTTTTCTCTATTTAACAACATTACAATAGTGAAAGACGACTTCCCTTACTGATCACGTCTCATGCGCGGCGGGAAGTTGGACTCATGAAAAATAATCATGTAGTTTGTATTCACCAAAACTGATTTAATGAAGTCAAAACACGGACAGAATTGGCGTTAGCGTGAGCGCTGCTTGCTGTGAAGCAGGAGCGACCAGCTGGCAGAAGATTCCGCAGCTTTCCTCGAACAGTTATGTTCACGATTTCTGATTTACTTAACGTATACTGCGTGAGGGGGGCTGTGATTGGATGATGACAGGTATCGGTGATCATTCTCAAGTGATCAGCACTGCTGCTGTTGTATCAGTCAGTGGTTAGATCAGCGTAGCAGTCAAAAAACGGGACAAGGGAAGTCACGTACGGGACAAATCAATTAGGCCCAAAATACGGGACGTCCCGGCTAATACGGGATGGTTGGCAACCCTAGCCATACGCTACCATCCTTATATTGTGTCCGCCACGGTTTTTGCACTCCTGATTTGTAGGACAAACTGAATCACAAAGTGAAGTCTCAAAAACCTTCCTCACATGCCACATGTCTCTCTTTTATCACCCATAGGCTGATTCAGTTTAAGATTTTAGAGGCTTTTAACCAAGCCATTGACATGAATCAAAAGAGACACACTGTGACTAAATGCGATATGAGACCGATGAGGGGACCCGAAAAACTGGCGGGCGGCACTCATCACTAGATGCCCTGAAAAAGTCCCCGTGACAAGCCTCTTAACTTTTATGATTGTTTGGCAAAGTTGACTTCAAAGAGCCGATTCTTTGGCGCTGCTCGCAGTGAGTGAGAAAGCCAGGCTAGTGCGGGGAGGGGCAACAGGGGCTGATGGGAGTCGAGTGAAGGGAAGGGATGGAGGATGTTGGAGTGGAGAGCAGAGCCCTTTGATCTGTGTCAGCCGCGAAAAGTACAAAAGAATCAAAAGCAATGGGGAGAGCAGCACAGAAGATTGCAAACAAGGCCCGCTCGCAATTCCCCGCGGGAGCTTGCCGGGGAAAAACACGACGAGACAAGAGCACATTTCAGAAATTCTGCAGGCTGTTTGGGAATTTCTCTCAGGCCTAATGCTGAAGCAATTAGCATTGAACCACCTCTCTGAACAGACAGAGGCTAGCTAAATCCACCATGCTAACATTGTTAGTGCATCACAATTAGTGGGGGCGACCCACTCAGGCCAAATTACATCATTCATTAAACTGACCAATCAGGAAGATCCATTTATCAATCAACGTGTAAGCTACTTTCTATTTGTAATTGGCTGTCCATTTGTAATCAGTGTTGGGGAAGCAACTTTGAAATTAAAGAAAGATTGGAAGGGACATTTCACTAGAAACAACAAATAATAGGCCTAATAGGAACCGTCTAATCTACACGACCATTCAAAAGTTTGGAATCAGTTAAGTTTTTTATATATATTTTTAAAGAAGTCTCTTATGCTCTCAAAGTTGCACTTATTTGATCAAAAGTACAGCAATATTGTGAAATAGTTTTACAATTTAAAATAACTGTTTATGGACATTGTTTTTGAACAGCATTAATTTGAAAAAGAAATCTTGTGTATCATTATAAATTTCTTTATTGTCACTTTTGATCAATGTAATGCATCCTTACTGAATAAAATTTGTAATTTTTTTCAAAAAAAAAAAAATCCTACTGACACCAAACTTTTGAATGGTAGTGAGTCAAAAAGACAGTGATAAATATCAGAATTTAACCATTAAATATACTGCTACAAAATGAAGACGCAAATGCTGCACAGGATTTATTAATTGTTTTTGCAACAGAAACGTTTGGATGAACCAATTCACTAATAAGAATTAGACTTCCTCAGGCTACATATTAATCAGTGAATTGCATTCCTTTTGAACTAAGTGAACTAATTTCTATTAGAATTTGTATGGCTGTAGACTGTCCATATGACAAAAAATAGCAATATAGCATTTTATCGTGCAACACTGCTACTTGTTGAGCAAAGTTGTTTGTTACATTACTGGAAAAGCAACAGTGTTTAGAAAACAGCTAAACTACCGTCACACTGCTGAAAGTGCAGTGAGTTACAGCCTAACACTGAATAGGAAGCACTTTGAAAGACTTTCGCCAAGATTTTGCTGTATGACATACACAGATACTGCAGATCTGATTTCTGTACAATCGTAAAAGTCCTGACTGAGCTGCTTAGTGTCATGCTCAGACATTTTATTTATTGCTTTTGCAATAAATATAAACCTATTATGCCTGTTTAATGAGGAACTGATCAACAAACAATTCACTAAAAGTCACAACTTACTCCACAATCTCTTATTTCCTAACTTTTTATCATTGCTTTAACTTGTATAACTTTTATGTCTGACATAATAGACTAATTGACCTTGCTTTTTAATTAACCCCTTAACTGTCACTCACATTTTTGAACATAGACGTGAAAGTGCACTATCCAAACTTACATTTTTATAATTCATGAATGAAAACATTTTATAATATGATTTTGATGTACCATTTTCATGGTACATCAAAATCATATTATAAAATGTTTTCATTCATGAATTATAAAAACATTTTATAATATGATTTTGATGTACCATTTTCATGGTAAAGCAATGTCTGACTTTAAAATGGTTTTCAAAGGAAGAATTTTGAGATTTTAAGTTTTCACAATTGATATATAATTTCTGATGATTTCTAAAGTGTGATAGAGAAAAAGGCAACGAAGAAGACTTTTTGTGACAAAGGTCAGAACTCCTGTTATGATGTAGATTTTTGAGGTGCGCGAAATTCAGTAATTTCATTAGGAATCCGCGTGACCAGGAATTCTGTGTGTGGGTGGAAGTTTTCCACACGCAGATTTCACAACTAATTAGTCACTGCGTTAACCAATAAAAAGTTGCTCGGTTTGAAAGTGACTTCTGTGGGAGCTTCATACATTGATACACTATTGACAATGAACCTTTTTGGCCCATAAAATTTCATAATGTGACCGCACCTTTGTCAGTTGTTCTAAAACCATTCGTTTTCATTCATGAAACATGATCAGAATAAATTTGTTCATAACTCCTTACAACAGTTTACTCAAAAATGTCTTAAACTGAAATTTCATGAATCAGTCCCAGCGTTTATTATTAATTGTGTTATTGCAGAAGCTCACCTTGAAAGAGGGCGGCATTCTGAATGATGAGAACTTTCAGCTGGGCGCTGGTGGCCTGGAGACTGGACTCCATATTCTGTTTGGCAATGAGCAAGTAGCGCTCCTCCATTTTTCGAGAACAGCAGGTCAGGCCTTTCGGCTGGCACACCTGCAGATCTGAGCCTGAAGAAAAGGAAAGAGACACAAAATTTGTTACAGCCAAAAAACAAAAAACGAGTAAACAGACCGCGGCACTTAATAAATTCCATCTGAAAGTGTGCTTGCTTTATGAGTCAAGCTTCAGAGAGAGCAGGAGAAAACCGTTTGTTTTATAGAGCACATTGTTTACGTTACCTATTCAAATCTCAAACGCAACAAAATGAATACCTGCTACTTAACTGAAACATGATATTTCATTTCTATGCATTGCATTTCTCCCAAACTGATTAGCCAAAAACACTCATTAAAGGAAAACAAGATAATCAGGGAGAACATTTCGGTAAAGACGGACCCCAAGAGACTACTATGCAAAATTTGTCCATTTAAAGTCTGATGTAGTGCAACTCCCCATGTAGATTGGATGAAAGAGACACGGATAAACAGAAAAAAAAAAAGTCAACATATTGACAGGAATGTCTTTTTCAGATGCATGAAGTGAATGAAGAGGTGACGGGTGATTTGTTGACACCCGTTATACTGGAACCGAGGTTTGAAGGTTATCTACCAAAGAGACATAATTGGATTTGCTGGGAGAGAAAAGCCTATTGAGAAATACGTTCTATTTTGTACCTAAGAAGGTACAAACCCTTGTCACTGGGACAGTACTTTTAAGGGTACAGAATTGTACCTTAATATATAGGAACAAATTTGTACCATTCCAATTTGTACCTTAAAGGACATGATTTGTACCATGAGGAACCAAAATGTACCTTTTCGTTTTTAAAACTTGTTGGTACAGTATTGTACCTTTATCAAAGGTACAAATCTTGTCCTTTAAGGTACCACCCCAGTGACAAGCCTATTTGTACCTTAACTGTGGCAAATATGTTCCTTCAAGAACTATTAAAGGCCATTTTCTTATTGAATAACATGCACATTAAACAACTGAAACCAAAAGATATTTTAATATCAGTAACTGCAAATACATATCAAATACACACAAGTGGTTGAACAGTAAAATATTTTTTCTTTGTGTAAATGCATCTTTCCAGATTACAATAAAGACTTAAAAAAATAACAGAGTATCACTTTTAAAAAAAGCTGCAAAACATTTCACAATACAATTAAACTAAAATGTTATAGTACATAAAATACAATTACACTAAAATGTTACATTATGTAACAAAACTAGAAAACTTTTCCCCCCACTTTTCACACAACATACCTGCATTTATTTAACATTTTCAAAAAACACCATCCTCCACCTCAACTGCTCGGCAAATTTCAGATCCCTCCATTTTTACAATTCTGAAGATTCTCTTCTCACTGAAGACTTGTGTCCAGTCAGACGTTCCCAAAATCTGCACAGTGGGATATGGTGTGCGCTGGTTCTTCCTGAACTAAATGAAGAATCAGTATTAGAAAAGACAGATTCCCACTGACTAGTTACAACTGTACCCTGAATATTTTTATCTTACTACAGATTCTTTGCATGTAACACCTGTCTGATTGTGACAATTGTTCACTTTCTCCCTGAATATCACCAGATGTAAACCAGAGCAGCATAAAAAAATCTAAAAAGACATTTAGCAACTATAAAGACATACATTATTCATTCCATACTTTCAAAACAAGCAAAGTCTAAAGATGAAACATGCATACCATTTAGATTCACTGCAAGATATTTTTGATGAAATCTGAGAGCTTTCTGTCCTTCCATAAGCAGCAATGCAACTTACATATTCAAGGCCCAGAACAGTTGGAAAGACCTCATTAAAGTAATCCATGTGACTCCAGTGGTTTAACTGCACTTTCACAAGAGCACCACAATGCATTCATGTTATTCACACAAGAGATGACGCTGTCACATGAATGCACTTTGAATAAATTATTTTGTAAATAGGTGGTAAATAGTGTTGCACAAACAAAGCACTCACATCGCTTCATAAACCTGAGGTTAATCCACAGAAGTGAGTGACATATATAACTCTGATGTCTTTCTTACAGTTCTGGACCTTGAATGTGTAAGTTGCGTTGCTACCAGTGGAGGGACAGAAAGGGGTGAACTTACCCTTTAAGGAATCCTGGAAACACCTTAAATCAGTTACAGCATGCATTGGGCCAATTTCCTGGAATAACTGAAATGCAGATAAGAAAAGAAGAGTTCATTACAATTAATGGTATTTCTTGTTTGCCATTGTATAAAATAACAATTCCCACATTTGAGTATTTAAGTATTTTACATTACCGTAAGTATTTAAGCATGCCCATGGTGAACAGGCTTCTCTCATGCACTCTTGAATGTGCAATATAGAGCTAGGGCTACTGTAAGGTGAAAGGTAGGATGTTCACTAAAAATAAGATGGAAAAAGTCACATGGATGTCATTGAATGTCATTGTTTACTCACCCTCATGTCATGTCATTCCAAACCCATAAGACTTTAGTTCCTCATCAAAACACAAAGATCTTTTGAATGAAATCTGACAGATTTCTGTCCCTCCACTGACAGTCCACACAAATGCCCCTTTGATGCTTTAAAATTCATAAAGCGATTGAAAAACTAATCCATATGAATAGAGCAGTTTAGTCCAAATTTTCTGAAGAGACTCAATTGCTTTATATGATGAACTTAGTCTTTTATTCACATATAAACACTGAACAAACAGACGCTTAACCATACTTGCTTGATGCATGAGAACAAACTTCACTGGTTCTTGTGGAAGCTGAAACTTGATGTTTAACACAAAAATGAACCTCATTTTTTCCAAGTATTTTGTTTACCATATCTGATGTGTGTACTGATGAATGTTTATATGTGAATAAAAGCATAAATTCAATCTGTTCATCATATAAAATGATCGAGTCTCTTCAGAAAATCTGGACTAAACGGTTCACTGTTCACTGATTCATATGGATTCGTTTTACAATCTTTTTATGAAATTTTTGAAGCATCAAAGTAGTAGTAGTGTGGACTCTCAATGGAGGAACAGAAATCTCTCATGTTTCATTAAAACATCTTCATTTGTGTTTTGAAGATGAATGAAATTCTTAGGGGTTTGGAATGAAATAAGGGTGATGATGACGATTTTGATTTTGGGATTAACTATCCCTTTAACAATTAGCTGCCATTGTATAGACATCAGCAAAAGAGACTTACTGGTTGTCTTCTTCTGGTCTTGCAAAGTCTTCACATGGGCATGAAATGGCATTAGGGCTGCACGATAAATCGCATGCGATATTTAACGCGCATCTTGTCAGTAAAGCCGGTTCTTTAATCAGCTGTAAATCTCCCTCACCTGCGGGCTTTCACATGGTTTAGTAGGAAAATTTACATTTATTTACATTTAAATTTTACTCATTTTGTACAAATACTTGCCATACAACTGAAGACGCAGACCTCAGTATAAGTATGATCAATGTAACTTACTACTTACAAGATTTCTCAAAAAAGCTGTGCTATCCCTGAGACCAGCACTGACAGTTTCTCCATCATCTTCGTGATCTGAAAGTTAAAGACACATTTGCTGAGTTTCAGAGTTCTCTAATATAATGAATGACATGTATATGACTTAGAGATAGGGCAGAATCAGGTAATTACATTCTTTTAGAAACAGAGACCAAAAGATAGGCAGATCACACAGAACATGCATTTCAATTTGTCTGTATTGTGATATTTTTGTGAACATTAGACTAGACATATTTGACAGTTGTGCAGCGGCTCAAAATATTTGCATTCATGTGCCGTTGATGCAATGCACATTATTAGAAGAAAAGCAGACGGAGAGAAAAAAAAAAGAAAAGAAAAAGAAACCGACGTGTTTTAAGTAAAGCTCTCAAACACGAGAATCTTAAGCTTTAGGATAAGGATATATATATAAACCACTAATATAAAAATAGCACGGACAACTATTCATCTGTGCACGGGTTGGTGGCGTTCAATCACGTTGTTCAACAGGTGCAATACACCGCCATGGCGCTTCAGGGTAAGCGTTCATTTACAATGATTCAACAGTATTATTTAATGTACTTCAAACTTATACACAAAATATACACAAGCGCTATTGCTTTAAAATGTATTTGCAGAAGGCTAAATACAGCTGGCTATTTACGCTCCCTGTTGTGAATGGGTGGCTGTAACGTCTTACACCGTGTCTAACGTTACACCGGACGCGAGCGGTGTCGCTTTTAACGGTCGCTTTGTCGCGTCCAGTGTAGACAGACTTTCGCTGTTGCGGCGCGAACGGTGTTATACATTTTTGATTCGGTTAAATGCAAGCATAAAACTCACCTTTGAATTTCCTCCTCTCTTCGTCTGATAATTCGAGTCGAGCCTCTCTTAAGCTTATGAAGTTTCTCTGACGATAAAGAAGCCGAAGTCCTGGTTGTGCTGACGCTGTAGACGGGCGCTCTGCTTCCCGCTCTCCGCTGTTTGAAAATTCCGTTAACGGCTGCTGCGACTTCGGCCCGTCATGTCTTGTGTTGCGATGCCTAATAGTTAACCGATGATATTTAATAGTTACAATGTGCAGTGTTGAGCAAACGCCATATTAAATATGTAGTCGCGATCATTTAATACTAATAAATTCATTGCATTTTTAAAAAATGTAACTTTATACAAATGGCTAAAACCATTGAGCGCATAGTATGAACTAATTTAAGCCATTAATTTCACGTTGAGTAACTTAGCTGAAACATTTACATTTTCGACTTGTGAACTAAACGTAATATAAACGTAAATTGTCAAAACTCACCTTTAAATCTTGTCGTCTTCAAGATTAACACTTAAAGGGGTCATATGATGCTGCTAAAAAGAACATTATTTGGTGTAATGAAATGTGTTTATGCGGTTTAAGGTTAAAAAACACATTATTTTCCACATACTGTACATTATTGTTTCTCCTCTATGCCCCGCCTTTCTGAAACGTGTCGATTTTTACAAAGCTCATCTGTCTGAAAAAGCTAGGTGTGCTCTGATTGGCCAGCTATCCAGTGCGTTAATTGGCCGAATTCCTCAAGCGTGTGACGGAAATGTACCTTACCATATTGTGATGCCTGCAGCACCCACATTTGACGACCCCGGGCTGGACTCCACTTCGTCCACGGTTAGAGCCGATCCGGCGATCAACAGCGCGAAGTTGAAGTATTTCCTCAGCGACCAGCACGGATCAGCTCCAGGCATGACGAAGCAGATATCGTCTTCTTTTGGAAGACCAAACAAAGTAGTTTCGCTTTCACAACGAAACACAGTAGGTGAAACATTTACATTTTCGACTTGTGAACTTAATATAAACATAAATTGTCAAAACTCACCTTTAAATCTCGTCGTCTTCAAGATTAACACTTACAATCCATTCTCAAAGAGCTTTTCTGTTGATAAAAGGGCAAAAGTAGTCTGCTTCCCGCTCTCTGTTCTGTTTGAAAATTATGTAACGGCCGCAGCGATTTCGACCAATCAGAGTCTTGTAGCTATGACTAGTAGTTAAAACGGCAACCAATCATGCATGAAACAGTAATTTTGTACCTTTGACGTGAGAACTTTTATGTACCTTCATTTCAGTTGTACCTTGAAAGGTACCAAACAGTATCATCAGAGGTCTTTACTGTACCATTAAAGGTACAGTTATTGTAAAGGTACAAAACTGTTTTTTGAGGAACATTATTTGTACCATCGTGTACCTTTTTTTCTGAGAGTGTGGAAGAAGGTGCTTCAGTTCATAGCTCACATATGAATAATAATCTAAAAATGTTCATGCCCTGTGGGGGGAGAAACAGAGCGATGCCATCTGATCTCTGCTGAATCAAACATCAAGGATACAGAAAATAAAAATGACCAATGCCTGATTAAGTCCCCCGAGTGTTAAAACTGATGGCTAGGAGGCAGATTTAGAAAAAAAAATGAATCTGTGAATTGGACACGACCTAAATCTTACAGAGGTTCATTTTCATTAATTAATTTATTAGCTCTTTTCATAAATAAGCATAAAACATCAAATCTCCTCACATTTTAAATGTTACTTTGTGAATTGCAAATGCTTTCCCCACTGAAGTAGAAAAAAACCCAACACACAATACTCACGTCTCATCTTGCAGAACTTCTGACACTGAATAACACATGTAAAGGGTTGTTATGGACAGAGTGCATGATGGGATTCCATTGCATTCAGGTCAAACAGACCTCTCTGCATGTGAACCAGGACTAGGAAACAGCTGCTGTGAAAATCAGTAGGATTATTGCAAATGTTTTCCCTGGGGCCGCGGATCCACATTTGGAAATGTGGCCAATTATCTTGCGATTACACATGCAAGGAGAGAACTTACGCTCCGCGAAGCCTCAGTCCTTTCAAATTTTCTTTTCCATTATTATTTTGAAAGAGCATCCTACATGCAACTTTGTTCTCAGACACTTTGCCTCTCTGTCATCTCATGCATCTTAGAGCAGCGCTGTTAAACCAGAGCCAAATGAAGTGTGTGAGTGTGTGTGAATGTCAGCTACGTGAGGGGGAGGGGTGGAGGTGGCACTAGGTTGATTGATAGTGCTGTAAACAAACTTCAGAAGAGTCCCAATGCTCCAGCTCACACAGACATAGAAGATGATGATGGGGTAGGAGAAAAGGAGGGCATAACACAATCTGGGCAGAGACGAAAGTGTCACTGCTCTGTTTAAGAGGCTTTTTGCTGCATTTTGGAATACTGTCATAACTATAGTGGAGCTAAAAGGGACGGGATAAAAATAAAACAAGATAAACATTCACAGTCAGATGCTCTCAGATAGCAAATTTCCTCATGGAGGAGACCTCAAGAACATGTTCCCAAGTGAGCAGCAACAGACAGAACTGAAAATGGTGGTAAGGAACAACTTACTTGTGTTCAGATTCAATCAGGTTTGGTTTTTATTAGGCTTCAGAATTGGAAACCGTTCTATTTTTACAAAAAAAGCCAGAACATTCAGTGCGACATTCAGTTTTATTAGTGGTTCTAAAACTTACAATATTCTTCCAATAGGCTTGAACATATCAGTAAAATACTCTGAAATTGTTCCCTCCATTGCCGTTCAGATACGACCAGTGAAGGCCAATTCTTGAGATAATGACTCTTATGAGCTGGTTCTTGAATCAAAAACATAAGTAGGCCTACAAATGAATAGTTCACCCAAAAATGGAAATTCTGTCATCATTTACTCACCCTCCTTTTGTTACAAACCTGTTCGACTTTTTTTCTTCTGTGGAATATAAAAAAGAAGACATTTTGAAGAAAGCTTGGGTCCAACCAACACTGGACCTCAGTAACTTTTCATTTTTCAAAATATATTATTTTTTTGTCCGACAGAAGAAAGAACTTAGTTGTTACACATTTATTATGAAAATGATTTAAGCACTTGGCAACAGAATTGTATTTCTGCTTTCCAAATATTTCTTTCTCAAATTCAAAAAAATCATTAATGAAACTGTTAAGAGGATTCAGAACCGGAATCCTTTCGATTCCCATCCCTACTGAAAGATTGCTAAATGAACGATCACATTTTAAATTGGCACTCGTTGCCAGTTCATCTTCAAAGATGAGAATACAAATCCAACAAGAAGTCCTAAAAACATACTCCACAAGTTTGTTGATTGAAATAACTTAATAGACAATGAAAGAGTTTAAAATGCAGGAGATTTAAGTGCTGCCAAATTTTAATTCCCATATGAAAATATGAAGACAAAATGTCAAAGAAATCGCCTTAGGGGAAAGGAAAAAATGCTGATCTACTAAGCACACAGCGCCTGTTAGGAATGGGTAAATAAACCCATTAACATCACATGCCATCAGAAACAGCAAGAAAAACCCGACACTTTCTGATCACACATCTGCACCAATATGGATATGAAACGAGAAATTATGGGCCATATCATACAGATGGCACATTTCATATGCACACCGACAGGCTTAATATCCAAAATCAATACTTGCAAAGGACCGGCGACAGATACGATCGAGCTAATTTCAGATTCCAAGGCAAATTTATTAAGCTGTCAATAGCCTACCGAGTGGAGGGGCAGGAGGAGAGCTGGCAGAAGGGAACAGGTATGAAAGGAGAAAGAACTCAGACAGATTTAGTAATTATCTTCAGCAAAACAGACAATTTTATCGGCACGTCTGCTGTTTGCAGATGATAAATGTACTTTATTA